CTTTGTCCATTTCTCTCTTGCTTATTGGCAATAGAAAATTACGAAATATTTTTTTTACTCATTACACCAAACGACACCCTTATTATCCATCCAATGATTAAGTCATATTTTTATTTAAAATTTAAAATTAAATTATATTAATACTCAGATAATAGATATCCCAAAAAAATTATTTATAACCATTTAAAATTTCTCAATTAGGAATAATGTTTACGATAGACTGCTTGTCGGCAGACTGACATAAATAAATGAATAAATATTATGACTTAATTGATTGGGTTTCTCGGAATAAATAATTTTAATTAATTATCCTAAGAATGCCGTTTAAATTCTAAAAGTATATACGATTAATTATCCTACATCTACATTTTGTGTAGTATACTATAGCCAGTGATGTAACCGATACATTTTTTTCAGTATCTAGGTACAGATACAAATACTCTTTGGCAGATGTATCTGGGTACAGGGTAGTCCAAAAAATAAAATCTTTAAATATTTTCTCTCCACAAGTTTTTTTATTCCACATCTAAATGACACAATTTTTAAAATCAAAAACTACGAAATAATGAATGTTAAGTTAAGAGGGCTAACGCGGAATCAGCATCCAGTACTAAACCTTTTTTACTTTTACGCCATGACGAAGCAGTTCAATCGATTAGTTCTCGGGAGCAACTTAAACGCAAATTACATACTTAAGAATATTGTGCACTTATAGCACATTCTGAAAATAGTTTGCAAGGTCTGCCTCCAACATCACGCTCACAAATGGAGTACTTCGATTCTACAATAAATTTACCCTTCAAAACTTTGACTTATTGTTGTATACCTCCTATTTTTCCTGTTGATATTTGATTTTATCTTTTTTTATCTTTTTTTATCTGATAAACTGCATCAACTAATTTGTCCTCCTCTACATCTGAATAGCTTTCTCTCAATCCCTGATCTAAAGAGCACTTCCTTCTAAACATTTCACACAACTTGCCGTATGGAATCACCAATTCTACAGCATTAAACAATAGTCACAAGGTCACTAACACCAATATAATAAGCACAAAATTAAACTGAATTTATTTTCCCCAAATTCGCTTTTTAATAACTTTATAAAGGATGGAAGGATTAAAAAATCCAATGTTTGTCAAAACGTTGTAGGTTGTAACAGGTAGTATATTATGTATCAAGTTTGATAAACGTCATTATAATTAAATGAGTGAGAAAAGTTTAAAAACGAGTTGCATACTATACTTTTTTCTACGACAAATACTTATAAATATCTAAAAAAATTTAAATTAAATATTTGTATAAAACAATATCTATAAAACAAGTGCAAATCAAAATGTACCTTTTGAAAATGAACCGTATAATCCGATATAGAAGCAGTTTTTCACAGTAAAAGTAAAGAAAATGTTTTATTGGAACTCCACGGTGGAGTCTTCACCCGAAATTAAGTTAAATCTAGTTTACTGCCGGTGATATTAAAAGGTCAGTACAATGTTTATAAAAACTTTTCAAATATTGGCGTTGAGAAACTATTTAATACATAATAAAATAATGTTTACATTTAGTATTAATTTACAAGAAGGGCACTTTATTTTAACGATTGAATCACATTTGACAACTGTCAACTAACTTAAAACCAACTTCAGTCCGTGACTAAAAACCTGTTGTTAACTTCAGCCCGTGACTAAAACGCCATAAAGCCACAACTTGTCAATGTGTATTTAAAAGGTCACTTAGTGTCCTGAAAACATGTACGATAATGGACGTTTTAAAGTTGGCAGTAGAAAAATATTATTTGTGTAACTAACCCTTTCAAAAATTATCTATGCAATAATAATATTTTTAATTAGTTAATTTAAATTGGAGATTAAGGGTAGTTTTTTAAAATAATATTAAAAGAGTTCAGTAATTGTAAGTTGGTAGCAGATTATTAAATAATTTCTGTAACCGATGTAGTTTATAACTGTGGCACGAGATGGCGCCGCTGCAGGCAATGGTATCGCTATTGTTATTTTGCGCGTTACAAACAAGCAGCGTGTGTTTTTGAAGTTTATCTTTCGTCACGGCATTTACTTGGTAAGTATTTGCAGTTTTTAATTTTCTTTATCATGTAAAGTTAACCAATATTTTATGTGCATTTGTCACTTTGTCACTTTGAAAATACATTTTTTTATTCTGAAGATGCCTCCTTCGTCACATGTGTCTCTTTTGTCACACTGCACTGCTATCATTACGACATTAAAACTTACCTTAAGTTTGTCTAAATAATAGTTACAATGGATATGAAAATGTGAAATATATATTTTTAGAGGTAGATGGGGTTAAAAGTATAATGGCCCATTATCACAAGAAAATGGTATTTCTTCTTCTATTTAATCAACAATCCACACATTGTGATTTAATCTAAACTTTCTTGTTTTTAGGTTCTGTTATGTGTTATTTTTAGTGGTTGCTTATAAATTTAGTTTTTGCTGACTTTTTAATATTATGCTAGTCAAACTGTCAAAATATTTTTTATGTTAAGATTTCAATTTATAATTTTTACTTTATTTAGCAATCCAAGGTACAGATTTAATATCTTTATAAATGATTAATATTTTATGTATATTTTTATGATTTTCTAGGGTACTTAAAAGTTTCTACGACTATTAATATGATTTTCCATTTCCTACAAATCCTATTTATTTCTCTACATCCGGCAGTCATATTTTACGCAATAAAATTTATAACGAGGGCCTTATAAATTTATAAGCCCGTAGCTGCACAATGCTCACTACTCGTCCTAATTGGGTTTGCGCTCAACAAAAATCTAGTAGTCGACGTTTCAATACCGCCGCCTGCTTTGCTTCTATGACTTTTATTTGTAGAAAACGCTTTCAGCACCGACCGAAGAACCAGGAATTGGTTAAATATTACAATAACGATTCGATTTGTTTGCTTTTTTATTGCCACTTTAGCCAGGTTTAATAATCTAGTTATGGAACTTTTTTAAGTTTATTTATGCAAAAATAAAACTAAGTAACTCTTTAAATTTACTACTATTTATTCAATTAAGTCCATAAAGTGTGAAACACGTTTAGAGGGGAGGTGGTAAGACTTTGTAACATCTTGTGTCTGAAATCCCCTAAAAAGTGTGACGTCCTTTGTGGTTATGAAGAATTTTACGTGTAACTTAAACATTTATTACATTTTAAATGTATTAGTTACACTGTTATAAAAATCAGATTTGTAGTTTGTTAATTTTATTTTGTAAAATTTTAACATACTTTTTTTAAGAAAACCAGGGTTTGTAATTATTTTAAGAAAGGAAAATATTGTACCAAAACATGCAATTTTGTAAGCATTTTGTTAATTTTAAAGGTTACAGATTATTTTGTTTGTATAACACATTATTACGTTAAAAAAGTACACGTGATTTCAGGCAGTCAATCATAACATTTCCCACTGATAATACGCATCAACAAGTTCAACTTACTTCAGGGTCTGCAATTTATGTTTCTGCTTACTTTATTCTAATTCATAACGCGTTCGTAACAACTGTCCAGAGTGTTTATGTTATATTACCAGAAATCTGTTATTATTGTTATTCGGATTCCTTATACATATTTAACGAGTGTGCGAAGTGTAAAAAGATGCCATCACTGGTTTTTAAACTAAAATTAGGGGATACAGTGAAGTGGGTTAAAGTTATGAAACATCAGCAAGTGTTGTAATAGTACTGATAATTATATTGTACCAAATTTATTTATAATTTAATGATTTTAGAATGTTGTGGTATTTAATTGTGTGTATGTTATTTTTGTGTTCATTTATGTGTTAATTTTTTGTTTAGGAAATTGATTAATAAAGCAACATTTCTTATTAAAATTCTTTTCATTTAAGTTTCCAATTTTCAACAAATACTTTTTTTACTACTCTACAAAAAGTTTTGTATAAATAAGGTTCTTTTTGAAAATTATAAGAATTATGGTTGAATTATTGACAGGATTTTGTTATTAAATTGACAAAATGTTTGTTATAATTACAAACTACTTATTCAATTAGTTAACAGATTACTATTGGTTGTAAACTTAACCTAAAGTTATGTTAACATAAACTCTGGTTAATATTTGGTTAAGATTAACAAATAATGTTTTACTGTACAGATTAATCAAATAATATTTTTGTATCATTTTTTAGCAAAATTTGGTATTTTATTTTATATAATTATACTTTTTTGTATCTTCATTTTAATATTTAAATTTGGTGGTGGTAATCTAGTGGGGAAAAAACCTGTAAAACTTACTTTTTTTTCAGCTGAAGTAAAGCTTTTTTAAAATTATTTGAGAACCTCAGGTTTTTTGCAAATGTCATTTAAATATTTATAATTATGCAATTTTTTTCTAATTCAACCGAACTTTATATAGAATAATAGATGGTGCACCCTGTAAAAACCATCCAATTTTATTCTGTCACATTTTTTGGAACATTTTGTAATTTTCTTTTTTCAAAACTCCGCAACGACACATCGCGATGTGTTGGTGAAAATAAAAAAAAAATAAATAAGGAAGCTGTGATTGACTTAAAGTGACATTTATAGTTAACTTAAAAACTGTTCATATTTTTTTTTGATAAATTTTGTATGCTTAAAATAACTCACATGTCATTTTCTATAGGCGCCAGATAATTTTTTACAGATTTAAAAATAAAAATATTGATACAATTTAATGTTCTATAAATGTTATCAAACATGTTAAATTATTTACAGAAATATTTTAAACAAAAAACTACCGATACCTCATAATCCGAAAACCTACAAAAGCAAGATAATATATAATAATCCCGGCGCATTCGCCATTTTTGCAAAACCAATTATTATTATTTTTATTACAGTATTAATAAAATGCATTTTTATTTATTTTGAAAACATTTTTTTCTTTGTTACATACTAAATAAAAATAAAAAAGAAAATATTTATAACTTTCAGCACATTTTTTAGTAATTAAATTTTATTTATGTTTCAGACTTTGCCATGTTCGAACGAAAAACTTTGGTGCCACTTTTATTTTTGTCGATTTTGGCTATCCAACAGAAAACCTCAGAAGCAGGTAAGAATACAAAGCATGTATGTATTTAATAAAAACAACCCCCAAGAAAATTTTCTTTTTTACACTTTGACTTTTAAGTACTTATACAAAACTTTGCCTGGCTCACCGCATTCTATATTTCTTTTTTCGTATATAAATTTTTGTAATAAACGTCCGGAAATAAATCTTTAAATTGCTGAAGTTTTATATTTATCATTTCCGCTTTTTTTCACAATAATATTATAACATAAGAGTATAATAACAGATTTATGGCATGCCATAAAAATATCACGATAAATGTTATTGTTACGTTTTTTTCGACCAAGTCAATTATTTTAAATGGCTCTATTCGTCTTAATTACAGGAGTAATAAGTTATTGTTATTCTTTTTACTTTACTTTTAAGTAGCTATGTAAAAAGAAAAAATGTTCATTGTAATTATACCGTTTTTAAAACAACGATTTTCTTATTTGTTATACTTAAATCGTTGTATGTATCAAGTTTTATAAATGATACTTTAGTTACGAGTTTTATTAGGCTTGCGATCTAGTGTTTAATAAAAGTTAGTGTCTGAGGAAGTTTATAAAACTATTCAAATGGCATAGTTTATTAGTGCTTTTTTTAGATATTTGGTATGAGAAGTGAGTTTGGGTCATGGTTTTAGACAGGTATACCTACTTATAAGGGTTTAAGAGTGAGAAAAATTGTCAATTGCCAATATCTTTAAAAGAATAATGGATAAATAAATATGGAAAACCGGATTTGGGGTTCCAAAGGGGGGAACCAAAACAAGGCAATTTTCAACTCACCTTGATCTACCCCAGCGGTGGTAGCCACCCTAACCTCAAAATTTTTAATAGCACTATGCACCTTGTTCAAAGGGTTATTTTTTTGTAGAATCGTTTAGGAAAGGTCTCACATGACATAAAGAGTGGTATTGAAGATTTTGAGGTTAGGGTCAGTGTCGAGTCACTGGCGTTAGGGCATAGTCCGCTATGAATTTTTAAAAGGCGTAGCGTTATTATTAAATTAATTTACTTTTAATATTTCTGTTAATAAAATACTTTAACCGACGGTCATTGTAGCTATGAGTCCTTTTTAAACTAAAAAAAAATAAATTATATACAGGGTATCCCAAAAGTCACCGATATCTTTTGACTAATCAGAATATCAAAACATGACCTTGGTAAAAAATCATTAGTTTTTAAGAAATTGGAATTTTTATGAATTTTGTGAAACTTGACACATAAAATCAGTTTTTCGAGTATTTTATTTTGCTAAACCCTGAACTGACTGCTATTAATTACAATTCAAAATTGAATGAATAGTAGATTTTGTAGCTGTGGCACTCGAAAAACTGATTTTATGTGTCAAGTTTTACAAAATTCTATATCTCAAAAAGTAACGATTTTTTACTAAGGTCATATTTTGATTATCTGTCATGAGTTGGTCTATCAGTCCTCCAAAGGACATCGTTGACTTTTGGGACCCTGTATATTCATAAAGTTATTCTCGTTAAAAATTCTGTTTATATGAAAATTTAAAGTGTTTTAAACAAGATTAAAAAAACTTTTTTGTTTTAGTTCAATTAGGACCCAGAGCTACAATAACCCTCGGTTATAGTATTTGATTAACAGAAATATACAGAAGATTTAAATAAAAATGTCAAGTTACTCTAATATGCTAGCTGATTAGGTCTCCAGAAGGTGTAAGAAAAACAATAAAATAAAAATAAAAATTACTAGCTTTTTTATTTTATTTAAATACAAATTTTAAAATTTTCATTGTTTAAAAAATTGATTTATCAGCTAATAAAATATAAATTTAATCAAAGTCTTAAAAGTACTTAGTTTTTTTAATATAATTTTATCTTCTCCTATTGCATAATTCTGGGTTTTTCAGTAAAAATTGATAAACATTATAAATTCCCTGCTTAACAACGGGAACTCATTATTCACGTTGTTAGGCATCAGTGATTGGCCAATCTCAATATTCACTGTGATTTAAACCAATCGGGTTTTCAATTGAAAGAAGGCGACTATAATAACATTTAATATTGGTAAAAAGTGAGGTTAACCATTTTACAGATGTCAGATTTTATTTATTTAGTTTTGAAAATAATTAAATTATCTACTTATTGGATTAGATATTATTACACTCGAGATTATGCCCATTATTCACTTGGGTGATTTGAGTCTCTCATCTGTCGACTCGAGTCGCAAACCTCATCCTCGTGAATAATATCCTGTATTATCTCTTGTATAATAATATACTATTATAGCATAATAATATTTTTAAGCTTTTTTATACCCTTTTTGTTTCAATTTTATCATAAAAAGCGTTTTAAAAGGATTTCAATCATAAAATTGGATTTATAGTTAAAACATGCATTTTACAAAATATGATTATTTTTCAAAGTAATTCAATTTTTATTGCAAAGCGTTTTTATGCTATTTAAAAAAACTAGGTACTTTTAAGGCTTTAAATTACATTTGTGAGTAAGTTTTAATTGTAATTTTTTATTATTAATGAGAATTGTTCTTATTTATGAGTTTTGTGGGTATATTATATAAATATTATATTTTGATTAAAATTTATATTGATTGATAAACCATAAAAATTTAAAAATTTGTTATTTTCCGTCAATAAAAAAGAGTCGAGTAATTTTATATATTTCTGGTCTCATTTTTTTTTCTTCCAAGGCACAATCAGCTTACCGATTAGAGTAACTCGACATTTTTATTTAAATCTACAAAAACCCATTTTAACGTTACATATCGAAAAAAAAACACATAAATTATTAGCCACCTCGTGGCAAACAAAAAAATTTATTTTGTCGACCAGTGTAATAAGTAGGGATTGAGTTTGAATTTGATTTTTAATTATTAAACGTTTCAGGAAAATCCTGTTAGACCGCGTTGAACAAGGCAAAGACGTTGCAAGATCGTGCGATAAAAAGGCATTAGCATTATAATAGTCTCTAATGTAGTGTATAATCTGCAATTTGGCCGGCTTAAAGTGGATGTAATGGTTGTTTTATTTTTTAGTTCGATGGCAAAATTTCTCCCGTTAAACTTAAAAACGTTTTTATGACTTTTAAATTCCGCGAGAGATGCGTGTAACTCTGCAAAGTATTAACATTTTAAAATCTATACCAAAGTTTTCGCATTTATCAAAAGCTTCTCAACTTTTTTTATTGTGCATGCGAAGGCACATTTTTTATCAAAGAGACGCTTGTTTTTGTTTTCCGTACTCAAGGGATGCATTTGAGTGTGCAAGAGTCATATCTTTGTATATGGATGTTTTGTTTGTTGTTGTATTTTCAAGCAACTAAAATAACAATGATGTTTTTGTACATATTTATAAAAACATCTGTGAGATAGCTTTTGCATATAATTATTTTCTCCGATTATTATTACTACGAGTATATCAAGTTAGTTGTAATGTTCATTAATTTTTAAAATATAAATAAAACAAATTATGTAAAATTTAATGAAATTTTAATGTACAACTGAGAAAAATGCTTTCTACAGCTTTGTTGAGTAGCGCAAATTCAATATATCCAGTTTTTGATAACGGGGGGTCAAATTAATAACAAAAAAATTGAAATCTAATATAGGTAATATAGCTCAGCTCAATTATCCCTGCTGTTCTGTTTCGATTTACTATGCGGTTGTATTGTTCGGGTCACTATGACCCGATATAAATTTTCTTTGTAAATAAAAGATCAATATAGATATAATGGTTTATTTTAACAAAAATGCAGTAGAACAAAATTAAAAAGCTAACATTCCATTATATTTTGCTTATTGGGTCAAAAGGACCCGAAAGGATACAAGGAATCCTTTTTTTAATCATAGAAGAGATTAAAATTAAGGTTTTTACATAAAAATAATTAATTAAAAGTTAAAAAGGAGTAAATTATGGATTTTTTCTACTCTTACCTTTAAAACGCCCATTATCGTACATGTTTCCATGAGACTAAGTGACCTTTTATACACATTGACAAGTTGTGATTTTATGGCGTTTTAGTCACGGGGTAAATTAGCAACAGGTTTTTAATCACGGCCTGAAGTTAGGTGACAGTTGTCAAATGCATACAATTGTTAAAATAAAGTGCCTTTCTTGTAAAATAATACTTAATGTAAAAATTATTTTATTATCGCAATACAAAAACACAAAAGTATTAAATAGTTTCTTGACACTAATATTTAAAAAGATTATGTAAACGTTTCTACTGACCTAGTGCAGTTAATTAGAATTAACTGATAAAGAGTTACAAAATTTTGTGTACAGTGTCTATTAAATATTCTCTTCTCTTTTACTGTAAAAATTGCTTCTATATTGATTGTTAGTCTATTTTCAAGGAATAAATTAATAAGTAATTGGTGCAATAGATAATAGAAAGTAGTGTATACTTTAGATGCCCTTTACACTCCTTACTAATATGACTTGTCAAGTTGACAGGAGAGAGATAATAGGTGACAACATTTGTGGGGTGCATTTAATGACAGGTATGCACCCCACGTTTTGCCTTTTAAATCTTAGAATTATTCTATACTTTTTAGTGCGTTAAAACGTCCTTTTCAGTTTTTTTAAACTAATAATTTATTTTTAACTTTTTAGTCTTGTAATAATGATTATTATAATTTTTTATCTTGATTACCTTGGAGAATCGAAATTATTGTCAAACTTACCGTTCTGTTATTAATTTTGTTTTCAACATTTGCAAAGGAAATATTAAAAAGAATTTTTGAATTTTATAATTGACATTTAAATTTTAACAATAAATTAATAAAAATTTGCAGGCATTTAATCATTAAATCGTATACTTTTTATTATGGATTTAACATTATTAAATTAAATTATTTGGGAATTAAAATTTACTTAGGAAAATCAAAAAGCTTTTTTAGGTGGCCTGTTTTACTTATTTTGACTTGAAAATTTATAACTTTTATGCAAAATCGTTTTACTGTATACTATACAGAAAAATCCTATTTCCTAGATTCCTAACGAAAACT